AAAAAAAAAAAAAAAAAAAAAATAAAAAAATAAAAATAATAGTCAATTTAAATGTATAAAAAAAGACGAAAAAAAAAAAAGTAAATGTGTAAATCAATTATTATGATATTTGCCATTACCTATCTTATTCTTTTCTTTTTTTTTTATTTTGCAATATTAGGTTTTTTTTTTTGCAAAATTTATTTTTTTTTTTGTTTACGTTTTTTTCTTTGTAATTATTCATTTCTTCTATTTATTGGAAATCCATTTATATGTTTTAATTTTATGTATTATGTGCATATATATATTTATGTTTTTTTTTTAATTTTCTAAAAAACTTATTAATCTTTTGTAATTTGTTAATATTATAAAAAAAAAAAAAAAAAGTTAATGATTATTTTTATTATCCATATTTTAATACACAAAAAATATATATATTTAAATGTTACTTATTTTTATTTTTGTGTTATCCTTTACATGCACTTTTCTCAAAATGTATTTAACATTTACAGAAAAAAAAAAAAAAAAAAAAAATAGAATAAGTGTGATATATTCCTTTTATTTATAAAGAGATAATTGTAATAATTTACATTAAAATATTTAAGAAAATTAACATTTAATATAAAGAATTAATTTTACAATATCTTATTTTTTGTGTAATTTTTTATTAAATGTGTAAATAATTATTTAAAAAATAAAAACAAGCATAATTATGATTTTAAAAGAACAAAAAAAAAAAAAAAAAAAAAATCATGAAATTTATTGTTAAAAATACCTAAAAAATTGAAGAAATACATTATAATTTTTTTTTTATTATAAGTTTTTAAAAATATATTTTACATTCCATTTGTTCATTATTCTTAATTTTACTTGTAGAATAAAAAATACATTTAAAACAAAATTTTTTGAAAATAGACAAAATATATAAAAAAAAAAAAAAATGTTGGCCTATTCTTACGTTTATATTCACTCTATTTAATATCTTTTTTCTTTTTCTCTTAATCCTTTTTTATAATAATTCACCTTTTTTTTATCTAAAAGTGATTTGCATGCAAATTTTTTCACACAAATTTTGCTAAGTTAACCTTAAAAGTATTTTACTATATGTAAACATTTCATATTTTTAGTAAAATTTAATTGAAAATTTTTTATTATTTATTTATAATTTTTTATCTTTGGCTTTTAAAAGAGAATATAATATTTTCTGAATATTAAGATTAATCAAATAAGCCTTAAATTGTAATGTTTTTCTACTTTTTAATAAATTGAATAGATTAATTTTTTAGATTTCAATATGAATATCATTACAAAAGATAAGATTACTAATTTACAAACTGAAAAAAAACTTGTAGAATAAATATATTTTAAAAATTTAACTTCATAAATTTGTATTTTTGATTATTAAGTATTTTTTTTTTTTTTTTTTTAAATTTCATATTATTTTCATTTTCAAAAATTTCATTTTTATTTTTTTTTAACCTTAATTATTATTTAAAATTTGCAACAATTATTTTTACCTACCTAAAATTATTATACATTTTTTCTTATTCGCATTGATTTATATTGAAAGGAAACAAATTTTTAAAAAAGAATTAAAAAAGAAAAAATTGAGAATAATCAATGTTTAAAAATATACTCTTATATCTTACTATATATTTCATATATAAAGATTAACATCTTAGAAAAGCTGTTTTATTTTTAAGATTAAAAAAAACAATGTTTTTAAATTTAAATTTTATTAAGTTTTTAAAGTTTTGTAATTTTTTTTCATAAGTATTTTAATATATTAATGCAAAAAAAAAAAAAAAAAAAAAAAAAAAAAAAAAA